AAGCTGCATCAAAAGAAGGTTATGGTCACTGTTTGGTGGTCGGCAAGTGGAATCATCCACAACAATTTCTTGAATCCCGGGGAAACCATCACATCAGAGAAGTATTGCCAGGAAATCGACAAAATGCACCAAGAACTGCAACATTTACGTCCAACATTGGTCAATCAAAAAGGACCAATTCTTCTCCATGACAACGCCCGACCACATGTCTCGCAAATGACTCTGCAGAAATTGAACGAATTGGGCTACGAAACTCTACCTCACCCAGCTTACTCACCAGACCTCTCTCCGACCGACTACCACTTTTTCAAGCATCTCGACAACTTCCTGCAAGAGAAAGTTTTTAACAACCAAGCAGCAGCTCAAAACGCCTTCGAAAAATTCATCGGTTCCAGGACTCCAGAATTCTATGCTACCGGAATAAATAGACTTGTTTCTTGTTGGCAAAAATGCGTAGATTCTAATGGTTCTTATTTCGATTAATAAACTTTATTCTAAGCTGAGATATACTGCTTTAAAGTTGATGGTTAAAAACCGCAATTATTTTTGCACCAACCTAAATAATTTCTAATTTTTCAATCTTTTGGTTTTAAATTTTCAGGTATAGATGCAAATCCTACGACATCGCAAATGGCGAAGATACCATCTGGAGGGTAATACATAACAAGAATGACTTGAAGCACCTGCATCTCATCATGATCTTTCAACCACGGCTATACATTCACAATACCTTTTAATGACGATAGTTCAAAGGGGAACCACTGCATTCTCGAAGCAAATGATACACATGGCAAACCACAAAACATACTTCTCTCGGAAAGCAGGTGGAGAAGTCCATGGCGCCTTTGAGTCGTGTTGGCCTTCTTGGAGTATCAGGGCCAGTCATCCCGTCTGGGTCGATTGATAATGAAAATCGGTTGAGTGTCTCTGCGAATTCACGGAGTGAATGCAACTACAATGCAGTAGGAGTTGCTTGGGATAACGCTATGAAATACGGAAAACATTTGATGCTCTCGGCGTTTCAAAGACACATTATTTATACGTAAACTCAAAATATCAATGGACATAAGTGCCAACAGAGAAAGAGACTTTTGGGGGGGAACTTCAAATCATGGTGGATGAGTGGTCTCCATTGTGGTTTGGTTTTAGAAAATACATAACTAGGAAAGTTTCCAATGAAAGAAATGGCAATAGGAAGCAAATATGAGGAAACAAATCAGATGGAAACAGCGGGTAGGTGAAAACGCCGTGAGTCATGGATGGTCGCGAATCGATGGGAGTCAATTACTGCGGCGCGTCGGTATAGAAAGTGCTCGGAAGCAGTGTCCTTGACGGAATCGCCCCTTGCGTGACGGGGCCCATTAAAGGCGAGTGATCAAACAGGAATGACAAGTTGATGCTTTTCCTCTTGCCGTGTTGGAGGCCAAGCTCCCCAAACGTCATACTTGACATGAATTGAGGAAAAGTGACGTTCGGGCGAGTGTCGGATCTGGCGTATCCCTTGAACTAATTATTTCAAAATGTTCATTGCATTTTTAGATACGAGATAATAGAATGGTTCCTCTCGAGTTGAGATTTCAGGAATTCCGGGATCTTCCCCGATACCTTACACCCTACAGAACTGCTGATTTATCGAATTTGGTGAAACTCCACTACTGGTAGGACTGATAGTACACATTACATTTGTTTTGCAGAAGAAGCTGTAGCAAGAAATCTTACTGTGGACAAATATCTCGGCCTTCAAAGCGCGACCGGAGAAACATGTCGTAGACGAATGCAGGAGGCAATCCCTCAAGGAACTGGGATGGATGGGCGCAGTCGGCGTTCGGCGCCTGTCATCCTGTCTTCCGACTTTCTCTCCTTCCATCTTCGTGGAACTTGTAACCGATGGATCCATTTCGGAACTTTTAGGATCGTCCCCGAGGAAAACGTACTCTGATAAATGAAGCCGCAGTGACAGGTCCGTATGATGCGTGCCGAAACTTGTCCTATTGTCTTCCTCACACGTAGTATGATGAAGACAATAGGTATATCCGGACAAGTTTTCATTGGACATGAATGGTATGTAGACCGGCAGTCATTCTTATGAGCAGCCATACAAAAAAACTCATTTTTTGTTGACAACCGGATAGAAAAAATGTGATGAGGAAAAAAGGGACAGTAAATTAATAGTATCATAAGTCGATTTTCCAGGTGCTAGGTGTCAGGTTAATATAATTCAGTTGGCCGTCTACAGCAATAACCTTATGCCGGCTTCTGTACACGGTTGTAGACATAACAATCTGGTCACGTAAGTGGGTCATATTGCCAATAGGAACATTATCTCCTTGAACTTCAATGTATTCTAATGTTTGAAGGAAATACTTATATAATGGTAGCCGGGGATTCTTCATTCCAGAATAATTATCGTGTCACATGTCAGTTAACATACTGTTTAAGGGGGTTTTAAGGGAGTGCTCCAATACCGTGGGATGGTTCTCCCCGGCTTATTTGGTTTGGTGTACTTCAATATGCCATGAAAGTGCCGCAGTAGTCTGAAGGAACCAGGTCGCAAAAAGAAGCGACAGGAAATTAGGTGCTGCAGCGGGTGGCCTTTGCCACCCGACTTGTGAGGATGCGCAGTGCCGCCGTCCGTAAGAAGCTCCTAGTCGACTTCAATTCGACGCACGACACGTCTTCCACATTCTCCTTCAGTAGCTCCCAAAAAGGAGTCTGCAAGTCCAAAGTAATCGGTAGACCTAAGGTAGGTAAGCCTCGTGCGAGGAGGAAAAACTAGATCGGGAAGCTTTGCCACTGAAGGCTTGATGTCTCTTACTCGCCTTGAATGTACTGCTCAGCAGCGAGGACATTGGAAGATTTCCTCAGTGTGCTAACGCCACGATCTCATTATGTTAGCATAAGGGACATAGAAAACGAACGAGCGTGTGTTCGCGTATGGCGACCGGCACACAAGTTTCCTCTCAGTTCTTGGAGGAAGCGTGGAAGAGATGGAGATCGATGGAGCCATAAAAAAATGAATGAATACTTGATGCCGCGCCCTTTCCCTATCTTCAACCCCTTCCTGCCTCAGAAATGAACCGCTTCGTATTCCTCTGCGAGAGCGTTTCACGGACTCGCATTGAATCTGCTCCGTAACCTCGAAAACTAGGATCATTCCCGCAAATTTTTTCTGTTGATTCGGGAAGAAAAAAAATCAACGTTTGGTCAATGTGGATTTTCCTCTCTCTCCCTCTCTCTCTCCCCATAACCATACTTAGGGGGGTCTTCTTGGAGAGAAACACGAAAGGAAAAGGAAATGAGTTTGTGGAGCGAGAGATGAGTCATTTCCGTCGTAGGCGAAGCACCATTTCGGTTGGAAAAATGAAACCGTCGTTTTGATCATAGGACCCCGTATCCCACCACCCCCCATGGTTGCCGGATGGCATGTTGCAGTCATCTCGGATTAGAGAGTGATGCTGCTTTCATCTCCGTGCCCGAATCTTTTTTTTTAACATCGTAAGGAACGCATTCGTGACGAGATGAGATGAAACCGAATCATCGTCGAGGCTGCGATCCGCATGACCTCATTAAAGGACGAACAATTTCCCATTGCATGTCGAGGCCATCCGCCTCCAACGTTCCCTTCGAACGTGAGGTGCAACGAGGAGCGATACCGTCTGCCCGCAGTCGTCGAAGACGCAGAAAGTTTCAGAAACTCCAGAAAACACCCGCCCGAGGCGTAATTGACTCTTCGTTCCAGACGGACTCTTGCGGCCAAGAAAACTGGGCTAGACATTCCCTAAGTTCATTTCCTGGGTTTTGCCCTATTAAATCCCACGGCCTATTCTACTTCGTAGGAAAATTTTATTGCAGTTTAATTTAGGTTATAGAGTGCACTCATATACAGATATTTTAGGTAAAAACGGTCTAAACACAGGAGGAAGCCAATAGGTAAATATTGATAAAATTTTAATGTGCTCGTACCGCAGATCTGCATTTTCCAAGTCCCCGAATCGTTCTGAATCGTGAATCGTTCCTTTGCCGAGTGCAGCCAAAAACTTTCACCACATGAGTTGCCATAGTTGCCATTGTTGCCCATAGGTGACAATACCTTGGTAGATCCCATGTTGTGGGGGCAAGGGTCTCGCAAGTGAATGTTTCAAATTCACGGTACTTGTGAATCGGTGAGTGGATTAGTCCCAATCGGCTCGCAGCGTCCAAATGGGTCAAGCTGAACGCGACAGAGTCGAGGTGAAGTCTCGTCCTTCGTAAGCCTTCAGAGGGAATTGCGGGTCGTCCCCAAATAACAGAGAGAAAATGTGAATATTTTTGCTCAAACGTTTATTGCTCTGGAAGTGCTAGGTGCATTCCTTCAATAATCTTGAAGTGAATCATGAAGGAAATGAGAAATGATAGTGAAAGGGAAAAAATGAATGTAGAGGGAAAATATGAGTCGTCTCTGCGCTCGTGTCCGTTTGTCTTCTGAAAAACCTGAGAAATGTGATGCATTTTAGGAAATATGACATTTTGGAACCCAGGAATAAAAAATTTAAGATCATAATGAAGTCAAACGAACCTTTTCAGAGCTTCATGAGTCCAAAATTTTTTCATAGTTATTCAAATCAAAGTAGGTGGATGCAAACTGATCGTAATCTAGCAGCAGATGAGTTCAACCGATCGGAGGTCAATTCATGCAGTTTCAGCTTAAGTCGTGAATACTCTAATAAATTAATGAAAGGGACACCGATGTAAGTGAGCTTTACATCGGAGAGTATGTAATTTACTTTCAGAGTCAATAACAATTCCTTGCATTTCAATCTATTTTCTCGAAGAATTTGTGAAATTTCTGCACATTTCCTCCTTTCTCCTCGCTTCAAATGTCAAAGCCCTGAATTAAAACTCCTGATAATCAGAAATTCCCTCCAGCAGAATCTCCAGGGATGCGTGGATGAGACTGACCTTGATTCAGCCGGCGGCCTCTCAGGCTTAACAGCGACGTCCGCTCCTGCTTAATCGCGACGTCCGCGGCCTCCTCCGCCTCCTCCTCCGCCTCTGCCTCCTCCTCCGCCTCTTCCTCCTCCTCCGCCTCTTCCTCCTCCCCCGCCTCTTCCTCCCCCACGTCCTTCTTCTGCGGACTCGCAGCCGCTGCTCGCGACTTTCCCATCCCAGCACGTGAAGAAAGCTGTCACCTGTGAGACAGTGAAAACATGGTCTATACCTCGTGCCAGCCAACGACATTATCCCTTTCGGGCGTAACGGGACTCCCGAGTCCCGAAATTTTCCGCGTATTTTTTCATGGCTATACAGGAATGCACGACTCTTCTGACTCGTTGTGAGCTTTTTTGGAACTCGTAATAGTGTGGTAAATGACTTTTTGTTGTGGACAGTTAAATAAGAAAAAATTGTTTTCATTGACATTTTTTTCAATTCTGGTCCTAAATGTTAAAGACACAAATAAGAAATTAAATGGGAATGATCTGAACCATCATTAGTTTAGTTCAAGAAGTTCAGTAGAATTATAAGCCAAGTGTAATTTGAGTACCATCACATGAGTCGTAAGTGAGTAACAAAAAAATAGTTATTACCTTTGTTGCGGCGTCACCAGTCACGGCGTTGGCGGTGGTCACGCAGTCAGTAACTGCTGTGGTGAACTGAAGGAAGGAGATCGCATTTTCATTTTTCGCCCTGTAAGACTCTGTAAGACGATAGGAAGGCACCGACTGTGGCGGAGGTGACGGCGAAGGAGCTGAGGATGTTCGTCTGGGAGAGCTGGCCGCTCTGGACCCAGCCGGCCCCGGTGATGATGCACAGCTTCAGGGCTGCCTCCTGCCGAAGCGGGCGACAAGTTAGAAACGGAGCAAAGGAGATTTTTTTTTAACAGGAGAGAAGAAGTCCTCGAATCATGAAACGATGCAGTGGGAAACGCAAACGAAATGGAGGAAAATGAAATAAATTTAAAATCGGTCCTGAAAATATTGAAAATGAGAAATTCCATGAAAATGTCAACGTTCATGAAATAAAGCGCTGATACTTACCTGTTGGAGAAGGGAGGCGAAGTTCGTCGCGATGCAGCTGGCCACATTTTCTGCATAGAAAAGAAACACGGGTGCAACCAACGGTAAAAATTTCAGCGAAAAAAGGAATGGGGGCGTTTCAAGGCGAAAGGACGAGGAACTTCGAGGAGAAATTGGGCGCGAGTTCGAGTGAAAATTTTACGAAAATTTCAGCTGCTTGTATCGTGTAGGTCGACTCAGTGTTTTCATATTTCTTGTTGAGTCTCGTGTTTTCCTTTCTTTGATTTGAAAACTTCCGCGGGAGGCAGCTTCCCGTGAAAAGCTGAGAGGAAGCAAAAAAAATTTTGCGAAGATTTCGCGAGGATTTAGACGCAGAGGGCGCCGGGTCTCCCAGAAGCCTCGCTCCAGGTGAATGGCGAATGACGGACGTGCCGATTCCGCCCCGTTCGCGAATCGCGGGAGAATTTCCTTCTCACCCGCGGCGGTGTTGTTGGACTCCGAGAGTTCGTGATAGAGCTCGAGGATCTCCCGCTGCAGGTGCGCGCTCAGGACGGAGTCGCCGTTCGGGTTCGCCGTGGTCGTCGTCGTGGTCGTCGCCAGGAGGCAGGTCGTCCGCGCGCTGCGGAGGGAATTCCGGCCCTGACGGAAGAGACCTTTTTTTTTTTGTTGCGAATTTCAGATGGAGGGAAAAAATCTGGAGTCTTCTCCGGATTGTTTTCGGGAGCTTACCAGAGAAGTGATCCGGCCTCCTAAGCATCTCGCTTCATCTGGCGGCACAAAGACGGCAAATTAGCTCTCTCGGGCAACAAAAGTTGGCCCAACGCTAACTGGCAAACTTGTTAGTTAAAGTTAAATAGGAATCCTATTTAACTTTAACTAAATTTAACTAAATTACAGAGTTACATATCATATGTAAATCTGTATTTTCATGAGCGTGAGTATAACTCACCCAGTAGTTCATCTCCGTCTGAAAAACAAAATAAAAATTAAATATTCGAATATCATTGGTTTGCAGATGCAAATATCGATGTAGAAAATGAGAGCGAGAAGAAATGCTGACCTCCGTCGGCGTGGACCCCGACGAGGACGAGACCGAGAAGCAGAGCTGCGCCGAGTTGGGACTTCATGGCGGGATTGGTGACGGGCCGGGGCCGGAGCCCGGATTTAAAGGGGGAGGGGGAGGGCCGGATGTGCCGCGACACGGAAGTCCTCCGAGGTTCCATATTCACCCGCACGTTTTTGGATTTCGGTGTGAATCGGGGGGGGGGGGAAATCCCGCTGGACTCCGTGAACCGATGATTCACGTTCATTCGCATTATTGGCGACTTTTTTTGGCGGAAATCAGTCACGGTCGTGGGAGGGGGAATTCCCGCTTCGTACCGAATCGGGATGAAATCTCCGGCACGCTCCGGCATGCGGCAGGATAAGCAGGTGGATGCAGGTGGGTTCAGGTGGAGCTGATCCGGACAGAGGACTTTTTTTGCCACAAGAGGTCTTGATTGCCGATTGTCGTCGCACTCAAAGCAGCAACTGTTAGGACAAGCATATGATGAATGGATGAAGTGATGAGGTGATGAAGTGATGAAGTAACGAAGGGATGAGGCTACGAAGCCGCCTTTTCACCGAAATCCCCCATCCGAATCGCCTTTCTCGCCCCTTCCCCACGCATAAGAGGTTGTCTGCGATGTTTTGAAACGACCTCGAACCGTGTCGTCGCAACGAGCCTGTTCGGTGGAGGGAGAGTGCAACGCACCCACCCGCATCCACCTCCCCGAGCAGCAATGTGGAAAGGAGATGGATGTCTCCGCCTGGTGAAATTTGAAGCTAGGAGATCATCTTCTTAACGGTGTGGATATGCGCCTAAAGGGATATCCACCTGGTTCAAAGGGATATCCGCCTGGTTCAAAGGGATATCCACCTGGATGTTTTATAAGGGATTTATAGATAATTTGAATGGATTTCTCCGAAATGAATGAGAAAATAAAAATCCGATAATATGGAAGTTTTTCATACGTTTCCCATGCCATTCGGTACCATTCGGTACCATTCGGTACCGTTTCAGTACCGTTTCGGTGCGGGAAGTGCAGGGCGAAAGAAGACCCTCTAAGGAACAATCGTCAGGGACTCGAAAGCACCACAAGAACACAATCAGAATTTCAAGCACACGCATATGGAATGTTGCAGGAACACCTTCCACGCACCTTGCACCTCGCCCCGATTGTTCCTCGATTAAAATGGACTTTTAACAAATCACGGAGACGTCGCGGGAACCCCTCATCAGCAAGCGCGCTAATTACCGATTTGGGCGAGCTCAGAGAATAAAAACCATTACTGAAAAAGGGATGGACGAGAGAGAGCCAATTTTCCTCAGCTAATTTTCTCGCAGTCGGCTTCCACTTCATATTTCATTATTTCGCCTTTCTGCTGAATCAGCAGTGTAATCCGCACGAGGCGAAGACTGGCCGAAAATCACTTCGTAGGCGTGCCATCGCCTCTACAGACGAGGGCTTCAGCGCCTTTCCCGTCGTATCCTCTCGGCAGCGGCGATAATAGCCATCAGAGTGGATGACTCGGGCAAGCGGTTCCTATTTGTCAACGTGCAATTTTTCCCGGGTTGGACGCGTTTTCGTGAGTCGGCGAGGATTACTCCATGTTATTCATCTTCCCATCTCATGTACACATTGCCCATAACGCTGAGAGAAGGACGTGCGATGCAAACTTGATAGTCGAGGGAGGATAGTAGATGTGTGGAGACAAATCAGACAGGAAATGTGGATGTGTGGTGGATGTGTGGTGGGTTGTGTGGAAGGCCGGGAATGGACTGAAAGCAAACTGTGTGACAAGATGATATGTAATGAGTGGCGAAAGAAGACGATCGATGGAATCATGTCCTTGCGTGACAGGATGGGCGGAGTCCATAAACCGGCTCTTATATACAGTGGCAATGAGTGTAGCAATAATATTTTTCTCGCGAAACATTCACGTCTTCCTGAAGGAACTCCGTCCCATATCGTTTATGCGAGTCGCATCTCTCGAATTTGAAACACAGAAGTGTTCAGTTTGAGAAAAAAAACAGAGGATGCCTTTCTTCATCGAAAACCCGTAGAGTGCGGGTACCGGCTGCGGATCGGCCCGATTCCTGTCAGATTTATTGGACAAATAAATGCCGGCAATTATTATCTAGATAAAGGACGGGTACATGGTCATCATCCCCGCGGTTTCTTGTTTATTGAATGCCCCTAGTTCCCATACGATGCGATGAGGTAAAGCGTAATTGAGAAACGAGAAACCTCCGGATCCAATCATCCGGAATCCACCCAGTTTGGAAGGGATCCAAGATCGTCCGGATCGATTGTCTCGCTCCAAGGGTTTCTCTGTGTGTGTGGTGAGAAACGACGAACGCTTCTTTTGTCGAGATCGAACTTCGTGCGATCAAACTCCGGGCTCTCTTAACTGTTGGACTGACGCGCTTAAGCTTCCCTAACCGGTGTGGGTGAATCGTTCTCCGAAAACCCTCCAGCGATGAAACATGTCAGAGACGAATGCGGGCGACTGCAATCCCTCGAGGAGCTGGGGAGGAAAGGAGCAGCTTCGCGCCTGCCGTCCGCTTCCCGCTTCCCGCTCCTTCCATCCACGTTGAGCTTGGAAGGGAGGGCTCCGTTACGGGGGCTTGCAGAACTTGTCGCCGTGGGTTGGGCCATCGGAGGTATGGTCTTCAAGACTTTAAGCTCTAGCTGGACATTTTTCACCTTGAACATTTTATTTTCAATGGAAATGGATTGACGATGTGACGAATGAAGTTATTGAAACGGGAAAAGCGTTTTTCACTGCAAGTTTATCTACTGCTGCAACTTGGGCCCAAACCCAGTTAAGTTTGATATAAAGTGAGAAATAAATGAAGCCCAAAATGATTTCGTCTGATTTTAGGAGTCGAAGAGGATAGGCAGGAATCGTACGGGATAGGTCGGGGCAATCGAGACTCCTGTGACAACACCCGCCGCCTTCATCGCGGTGGCTCATGAATGGTACATGAAGGGACGATGGCTCATGAATGGTTCATGTAAGGACGAGGGATGCTCCACGATTCGATAATCGATATGTAGATGCCATCGAGATTGCCCGCCCTTCTAACGCTTGTCGAAAGGGAGAAGCGTTCACCTTGATGGATGGGTTCCTCGCACCTGCCCGCCGGGAGAGAACTCTTCGGACTTGGCTTTCGCGATCTGGTTTCAAACACGAGATATGCTGAACCATTGTCCTTGCGGCTCTGCGCGCTGGGGCCTCATTTGTGATGCTTTAAACACTTTGCGATTTCCTGCTTTCTCGTAGAAAGGACGAGCCATTGCCACTTTGAAAATAAATGAATGAATCACTAAACTGGACAATGGAGCGCCGAAGGCGCGACCATGGCTGTGTCGGCACAGTAATAGTTCCTTTCAAGACCCTATTAAGACCTATTAAGACATGAATACATTGGCCGGAATAATTGGAAGATGCCTATACCGTAACGCCAAGACGTGACTCTCCCTTTAAAAATATTCCTTGGCTTCGATCTCCTCCTTGTTCTTTAGGGCATGAAAGGTTTGGCCGGAACCAGCTCGACGTGCTCCCCAGGCCGTAATATACACAGCCCTTGGCGAAAGTCGATGACATCCATCTCGATGACATCCATCTCGATGACATCCATCTCGATGACATCCATCTCGATGACATCCATCTCGATGACATCCATCTCGATGACATCCATCTCGATGACATCCATCTCGATGACATCCATCTCGACGCCCCACACCCTCGGAACTGTGTGGGGCGTCGCAGACCGGAATGCAGGACGGAATCTTCCCGGGAATTGGCGGCCCGTTTTGAGGAAACGCCCCTAAATACGTGCGAGTTCGGAATGAGCACGACGACCAAAGATAGAGTTCGATGAAATGATATGCGATGACGTCACTCAAGCACCGGCGAGGCCAGCCATCTAAAGGCCGAACGTGACGAGGGAATGACGATGAAAAAAGGATGAATCTTGTTATCTGAAGGCAATGAGCCCAGTGAGGGAAGGAAAAGTTTTTCCTCCTTCGACTCGTACATTTGTAATGACGTTAGCACGCGCCTGATGGTCACCAGGGAAAACGGTTCGTCAGAGCCAGACGAGGTTTTCCTTTCCTTATCTGCTAGGGCAGTGGCCTGCTGTGGCCTGCTGTAACTTGCTGTGGCTTGCAGTGGTCTGCTGTGGCCTGCTGTGGCTTGCTGTGGCCTGCTGTGGCCTGCTGTGGTCTGCTGTGGCCTGCTGTGGTCTGTTGTGGCCTGCTGTGGCCTGCTGTGGTCTGCTGTGGCCTGCTGTGGCCAGCTGCATGTACCCTGAGCTCGACCTCGTCCGACTCGAATGAAGTTGCTTTAGCTGAACTCACGTCTGTAGATCTTCTTCAAACTCAGGTAACTCGAATTCTTTTCAAAACGACCAAACTCAGACTTTCTCGGGAATTCGATACTGCGACGTCACGGTGAGATGAGAAGATCGGTGAACATGGGTTGGTAAAAAATTCCTCCCGTGCCATTTCGTTCCCTTGGGCGACCGGTGGACGCGAGACTACTGCCACGATGACCGGCGTGCTTCCATTCGCGCGATTGGACAGGACGCATGGCTTTAAGCGAAGCCACCCTGACAAAACGTCCATTCCTTATGCCGAGGGTGACGAGGGAACTGCGAGGAAAAAAAGGTCGCCGATGAAATGAAGGGTCGTTATTATTCTCTCAAGGCCATCAGCCCAATGACTACGCGGGAAGGGACAAGTTTTTCCTCGTTTCCTTCATTCATTAGTGATGAAGCCAGTATTCATTAGGTCGCTCTGGCAACGGGCCACTAAGGCCAGAAGAGGCTTTCCTTTCCTTGTAAATCAGGACTATGGCCTGCTGTGGCCTATTGCGTGGCCTGCTGTGGCCTGCTGTGTGTACACTGAGCCTTAGCCTCGTCCGACTCGAATGCAGTTGCTTGATCTGAACTCACCTCTGTAGATTTTCTTGAAACTCAGGTAAATCGAATTCGTTTGAAAACTATGAAACCCAGCCTTTCTCGGGAATTCGAGGCTGTGACGTCACGGTGAGATGAGAAGATCGGCGACTATACAGTATTTTCCGTGTGCATCGCGAAGAGGTCCACCCAAGAGATTATGCTCGCCCTTGCCATTTCTTCGCCACTCTTCCGGGTGGATTTTGGACCACGTGGATGTCCCTCTCGGTGGAAGGATGCCCCCCGGGTTCGGCCTCCTGCCCTCCTTCCATCCACTAGCTGTTAGAGCCACGTGGATGTAGGTGAACGATTTAAAGGGCCTGCCATTCATTCCAATGCATGACGCAATACGTCATTTCTAAAGGACTCGGCGCCTGCAATCCGCGCATCAGTCGGAAACCGATTTTCGATGGGCAAGGTCATGCGTGGTGTCCGCGAGGCGAACGAGGAAGGTTACACGACACTAGATAAGGAAATGAGCTTCGATAAATGACAAGACGTCGCTTTGACAGCCTGAAATTTTCCAGCTTTAAGGGAAAACTGATGGGCTATCATCATGAACCCATCAGGAAATTCTCTTTTAGTTTTTTACACCGTGACGAGTTATGATTTCTCCAGTGGAAGTATATGACACATTTTTGGGGGGATTGCTCTCGTGATGTCCATTGTCACATGTTCCTATTGAATGTTATGTCATTGTGCAACTCTTTTTTTCGGAGTTTTCCAATTTTCTGCCTGGTGTGAGTACCACGTGACTGCCTCACAAAAACCTTTATGACGTGAAATCTCCCAAATTTCCTAGAGAGAAATTCCTAATGACCCGCAGCGACCCCCGGAAGATGCGGAAAGAAGAGGATGAGCGAAAATGCCATTTCCCCACCGACCAGCGACGGGCAATGGGCACATTCCACCAGTGAGTCACGATTCCCGACTGCATTCGATTTCAACGGAGTCAATGGAATGATCGATTTGGTCAAGTTTCGAGCACGGCAGAGTTGAAGGAGTGCACCGGGGACGTGGAGAGACTCTTTCACCTGGTGCTGGCAGGGCGCGGGACATTCTTGGACTCAGGGGGACTCCGGAGAATGCTTGGCTTTTCTGGTTGGGACCCGTCCGTCAGTCATCCAAATGCTCGGCGGTTCCTCGAGAGAGTCTCCGGGTACACTGTGAAGAATAATGGAATTCCCTGGAACTCTTTACTGGTTCTTCAGTGAAACTTTCTTGCAACCATTCCATGGTTCCATAGAGAACCACCTTTAAAGGTTACATGGCCCTTAGTTGCCGAAGGAGCGGAGTTCCATTTAAAAACAGCTAGCAGTTAAAACGACCTCTCCGGTACATCTGACGGGTTACAAGGTTAAGTGGGAATTGCTGGGCGCCGCCAAATAAAAGAACAAATTAAATATTTTTGTTCCAACGTTTATTGCTCTTTTAGTGCTGGGTGCATTTCTTCAGTAATATGGTAGTGATTCATGTTTGAAATAAAAAATGATGGATGAAAGGAAGAAAATGAAGGTGGAAGGGAAAATGAGTCATTTCCAAACTCCTCTCCGTTTGTCACCTGCAACAAAAATGAAAGAAGTGAGATGAATTTCACGATAAATGCAATTCTCGGATCCCATGAAAATATGAATGTTTCAATGAAATCTAGTGCAGCCTTTGAGTGCTTCATAATTCATAAAAATTCCTATTAAAATCAATCATTATGGAAACAAACTGATCGCAATCAAGCATACGATGAGTTCATTTGACCTGAGGTCACTCCATGCAGTTTCGGATTTTAAATTTAAATTTTAAATCGATTAATGAATGGGATCGAGGACACCGATGCAATCCAGATGAAATTTACGTCTGAGAGGATGAAATTTACTTTTAGACACAATAACAATTTAAACGGTGTTCGAAAAGAACTGTGCCAAATCGTTTTCGCTATGATTGAAAGTAATTCGTATCAGATCGACCTAATTTTTTAAATACCGCATGTAGAAAGGGGAAAGAGAGTATGCGCCCATTTTGAATAAAATTGACGCCTTGCATCACGTTCTATGCCAGTTCAAACTTGGTAGGTAAAAAAGTGTAAAAAGGTATTTAAAAAAACAAGCCTGCTATTATAATGCTTTCGCCCCAGCCAATGAAGCCAGCCTCCTTGGCCGTTCTGCATGGCACGTACTCGCTTGCTGCAGGACTCAGGCCGATGCATCGGCAAGGATGTCCGGTGGGTTTTTTGTTGTTGTTGTAAATTTCCAGTTTTAAACGATGTAGCACGTGACACATTGGGTCAATATCCTATCAATTTTGCAAAAACCTTATTTCTTCTATCCACATGCAGTTCTTGAAATATTGGAGCGATCGGATAAAATTTACTATCATCCCTATAAAAAACGGATTGGTACAGTATTTGTTTAAACACTGTTAACTGCGCATTGCTTTATTTTTTAAAGGCTTTTTGAAGCAGTGAAACTCTTTGGCATTTTCCTCGTTTCTCCTCACTTCAAATGACAAAGGCCTAAGTCAAAAATCCTGTCCGATAATCATAAATTCCCTCCAGCAGAATCTCGAGGGGCGCAGGATGACATTGACCTTGATTCGGCCGCGGCCGCTCAAGCTTAACGGTGGTGCCCGCGTCCTCCTCTGCCTCTGTCTCTCCATTCTCCTCCTCCACCTCCTTCTTCCGCAGATTCGCAGCCGCTGCTCGCGGCAATGCCGTCCCAGCACGTGAAGAAGGCTGTCATCTGTGCGGCAATAAAAACATGATATGAACAAGTAATGTGAAAGCTAATATTCAATGACTTTTCCCTTTCTTCAACCCCCCCCCCCCTTCTGTACGAAACTTACAAACGCTAGGTCTAGGCCTAGCCATCTGACTGGCTTCAGGTCGCCCCGAAGCTTACCTTTATTCTTAAAAATTCTCGACTTACAGTTAGGCCTTTAAGAATGAATCCGTGGGCTTCGAGACATCTGTTGAGGACGAGTAACGTTAGGTCAGTCGGAGGCCTATTCATATTTTCACCAACCATATCAGAGAGGACGTTTAACGTTAGGCTGAATCGACGCTTGTTCGCACTTCATGAACCAATTCAGTGCGGACGTAGAACTCTAGGCCTATCTGGAGTTCCTCGAACCATCTCGACTGGGTCGGGGAAGGAAATGCCTCCAGGAACAATGATAACAATTATATCCATAAGAATTTGGTCCGGTACCGTCCCCCAGTGTTGCCAGATACCGTGCCGAAATTAGGTCAGATTCAAGACTGCTTCAACCTTCTTATCAGCGTCTGGATCTTCAGTTTTTTAGTGTAAGACATTTTCGTGATGAGTCCATGAATTGAGCTGAGAATGAAGCGATGGTCGAACAGTGATTCTTCGAAGTGGTGGAATATGGAGATATCTCATCCGGACATCGCTGAATTAGCAAAATGGCGCGCATCATGGTTATCATGCTTCCTGGAGGCATTCCCTCCCCAGAACTATTCGAGATGGTTCGAGGAACAGCATATAGGCCTAATGTTCCACGTCCGCACTGAAATGGTTCATGAAACGCGAACAAGTTTCAAATCGGTCTAACGTTAAACATCCTCTCTGATGTAGTTAGTGAAAATATGAATAGGCCTCCGATTGGCCTAACGTGACACGTCCTCAAAGAGACGTCTCGAAGAATACGGATTCACTCGAATCCATACTTGGCGCAGTCAAGAATTCTCAAGAATCAAAAGTCAAGAATTGAGTTTCTTTTGAAAGAAAAAAAGATCGGTCTTGGCGTGACCTGAAGGCATTCTGTTGGTTAGGTCAAGGGCTAACGTTATTGAGTCCCGTAGAGAAGGGGGGGGGGGGGAGTTGAAGCAAAGGGAAAGCGATTGAAAATTCGTTTTCCCACTACTTAATTAAAATATTGAATGGGAATAGAATTGCGGACTTTTTTTTGTAGAAGTATTTACTTTAGAAGTTCCGTAGAAGCGTGAGCCGAGTGTAATTAAATTACAATGGCATGAGTTATAAATGATTAATGAAAAAAGTTAATACCTTTGCTGTGGCGTCACCAGTCACGGCGTTGGCGCTGGTCACGCAGTTAGTAACAGCTGTGGTGAACTGAAGGAAGGAGATCGCATTTTCATTTTTCGCCCTGTAAGACTCTGTAAGACGATAGGAAGGCACCGACTGTGGCGGAGGTGACGGTGAAGGAGTTGAGGATGTTCGACTAGGAGAGCAGGCCGCTCTGGACCCAGCCGGCCCCGGTGATGATGCACAGCTTCAGGGCTGCCTCCTGCCAGGGCAAGAAACAAGTTAGAGGCCGCCCAGTTGGGGAAGCGGAGAAAAGTTTTTTTTTTTTTCAACGAGAACGAAGAAGTCGGCGTATCAAAAATGGATGAAGTGGGAAACGCAAACGAAATTACAAAATATGAAATTTATATTTTAAAAAATTATGTTTAAAAATGTTTAAAATGAGGAATTTCACGAAAATTTGGCCTATTTTATGAATGAAGAGTTGCCACTGACCTGTTGGAGAAGGGAGGCGAAGTTCGTCGCGATGCAGCTGGCCACATTTACTGCATAGAAAGAAAACACGGATTGAACCAAGCCCTGTCGTAATTCAGAACCGATTCCCGGAGAACTTTCTCTCCGCGAAACAGCAAAAATGTCGGCAAAAAAGGGAAGGGGGGTGTTTCAAGCCAAAGGACGAGGAACTTGGAGAAGGAGCAGCAAAAAATGCAAGTTCTTATTCGAGTTCGAGAAAAAAAAATTTGCGAAAATTTCAGTTTATTGTATCATCGGACGACGTAGGTCGACATAGTGTTTTCATGTTTCTCGTAGTGTCTAGCGTTTTCCTTTCTTGGAATTCCTTGATTATGGAAACTTCCGCGGGAGGCTGCTTTCCGCGAGAAGATCAGAGAAAGCAAAAAAATATATCATGGAAGGTTTCGCTAAGATTTAGACGCGGAGGGGGCCGGGCCGTGGCCGCGAGTCTTCCAGAAGCCTCGCTCGAAGTTCGAAGCGGGCCGGGAGGCGAATGGCGAATGGCGGACGTGCCGATTCCGCCCCGCTCGCGAATCGCGGGAGAATTTCGTTCTCACCCGCCGCGGCGTTGTTGATCGTGGAGAGTTCGTGATAGAGCTCGAGGATCTCCCGCTGCAGTTCCGCGCTGAGGACGATGCCGCCGTTCGGGTTCGCCGTGGTCGTCGCCGCGGCGATCGACAGGATGCAGGTTATCCTCGCGTTGCGGAGGGAATTCCGGCCCTGACGGAGTAGACCAGCTTTTGTTTTTGCGAATTCAAGATGGAGGGAAAAAATGCGGTGCCTTTTTCCGGAGCTTACCAGATAAGTGATCCGGCCTCCTAAGCATCTCGCTTCATCTGGCGACACAAAGACGACAAATAGCCATTTTCGACCAACAAAAGTTGACCGAAAGCTAACTGGCAAACTAGTTAGCAAAAACTAAATAGGAAATGAATATGCGTTATTTCATAAACGTGATTCTGACTCACCCAGTAGTTCATCTCCGTCTGAAAAAGAGAGCAAAAATTAAATATTTGAACATCATTGGTTCGTAGATGCAAATATCGATGTAGAAAATGAGAGTGAGAAGAAACGCTGACCTCCGTCGGCGTGGACCCCGACGAGGACGAGACCGAGAAGCAGAGCTGCGCCGAGTTGGGACTTCATGGCGGGATTGGTGACGGGCCGGGGCCGGAGCCCGGATTTAAACGGTCGGGGGAGGGCCGGAATTGGGTCGAGGGAGGGCCGGAATTGGGTCGGGGGAGGGCCGGAAGTGGGTCGGGGGAGGGCCGGAAGTGGGACGACGCGGAAGTCCTCCGCGGTTCGAGACTCGCTTTTGGATTTCGGTGTGAATCGCGGGAGAAACGCCCGCGGACTCCGCGAACCGATGATTCACGTCGGTAGTGTCCGTTCATCGCATTATTGGTGATTCTTTTTTCGGTGGTAATCGGTCACGGTCGTCGGAGGGGAAATTCCATTCTTACGAATAAGTCCTATATGAAACCTATCGATATTTCTTGCAAGAAACCTATAGACTTTTCGAATAGGTTTTTGAAACACGAAAAACAATAGGACCCCTATTAGGTCTCATAGGACTTCTGATCTAAATTATTCGAAGTGGTTTGCTGGGTTCTGCAGTACTAATAATGTCTGCACTTGTATAATCATTTGCCCTCCCCCCTCACACCACCGCCCCCCCCCCC